AGGCAAATGGATTGGAATGGTTATTTTTAAGAAAGTCTTGTCTGGTGTCACATTCAAATCCAAATAAGCAGTTTTTTCTTGCAGTCAGCTCCTGAAACCATTCAAGCTTTAAATTTTAAAAATAGCATCTTATATTTTGTTTGGAGACTACATGGCAACTACCTGTGTTTTCCCGAAAATAAGACCCAGTCTTATATTTTTTTTGCCTCCAAAAGAGGTATGAGGTCTTATTTTCAGGGGATGTCTTACCCACTTATCTCAGGACCGCCACAGTCAGGCCTCCCATGCCCCGACACCTGTTGTGCCACTGCCCGATTTTGTGCCACGTGGCCTCGTTACAAGCGGCCAACAACCAGAAGAAGTGGGCCAGCGGCTACGCAGGCTGCTGCTGGACGGGGCTGCTGTTGCTGGTGCCACCGCCACGAGGAGAGGCATGAGTCGGGAGTGGGAGGCCTGGCTGCGGGGGCCCTGAGGTAAGTGGGTATAGGGCGCGTGGGGCAGCTCCATCCCTCCACCCCCGCCCTAGCTTGATTTTTATGTGTGCCCCTTGCCCCACCTCATACAACCAGACGGTGGGACGGAATGGGCAGGGTCTTAACTAGGGCTTATTTTTGGGGTAGCGCTTATATTAAGTGCACACGTAAAAATCAAGCTAGGATTTATTTTCAGATAGGGCTTATTTTGGGGAAAACACAGTATTAGATCCCAATAGGGCTTATTTTGGGGAAAACACAGTATTAGATCCCAGTCCTAACCTTTCCTGATAGAAAGGTAGAAGACCTAAATCCTAGACAAGAAGTGGGATACTTCAGCATAAATGTTGCAACTTACATTTCAGATGAAAGTTGTCAAGAAGTTCAAGCAAGCCTCAGAAGGAAAACTTGTCCATCATAGCATGTGGACATGATAAATATCAGAACCTGAACTATAATATCAGAACCATCCTGTTGCAATATTTTTTTTCATTATAGATTATAGAACAAACATAGAAGCTGAGTACATAGTTTGATGCAAACTCAGACAATTATGTCTTAATCAACAAATCTAAATTAAAATGGTCCAAGACAAAGGGAAATTGCTTCAAAGCGATGTGTCTAATCAATAAAGAAAGCGTACCACCCAAATTAAACTAGCTTGGTATCAGTTAGGCCATAAGCTTCTAGAATCCCCAGTCAACCTTTGATTAAGTTGATGATGATGCATATTGTAATAAGTTAGCCTGAGATGGCACTTGTATTTGAGACTTTCTTCCCTAAGATTTCTTCTTCCACTTTATGGTATTTCACTGCCACTTATACATAAGTCTTTGGGGTTTTATTGTTGATAAATTTGTTGACTCTGTTCTTGCTTTTTGTTGCCTTTTTTTAGTCTGGCATTTTGTGATTTAATTATGGATTGCTATTTTTATGCCAATTTTCACATTGTGTAGGTACTCTCAGCTACATACATTTTTAAGTAAATAATATTTAAAATAGCAATGGAGAAATAACTGTTCAAAGAAAATAAAATGCTAATTATTGTTTGATTCAATTGTTTGAGCCACAGCACATT